AGACAATAGACAGCAAGAGGATCACTTTATGAGATAGTGAGGGGCTTGGCTGGCTTACTTGTGCCTTCTTTTGGATTGTGTTTTCACAGCTAAACTGGATTCATGGACTTAGTAAGTCCTGAGAACCCCTTTTCACTTCTACTTTTTTAAAAATAATTTTTTTTTTGCCGAAACCGGTTTGGCTCAATGGATAGAGCGTCAGCCTGGGGACTGAAGGGACCCGGGTTCGATTCCGGTCAAGGGCGTGTACCTTGGTTGCGGGCACATCCCCAGTAGGGGGTATGCAAGAGGCAGCTGATTGTTGACTCTCTCTCATCGATGTTTCTAGCTCTCTATCTCTCTCCCTTCCTCTCTGTACAAAATCAATAAAATATATTATAAATAAATAAATAAATAATTTTTTAAAGATTTTTTTAAAAAATTGATTTCAGAGCAGAAAGGAGAGGGAGATAGAAACAGTGATAAAAGGGAGTCAGTCATGTATTGGCTGCTTCTGCATGCCCCCTGCTGGGGATGGAGCCCTCAACCCAGGCAGTGCCCTGACCTGACCTTCCTGATTTATGGATCAATGCTCAACCATTGGACCACACTGGCCAGGCCACTTCTACTTTTTGAACATTCGCTTGGGTCATTTTAAGCAAAGCTCTACTGGATAAATATGGGATGGTAGTTTTTATTTCCCCTCAAAGTAATCTGAGATATTGCTCATATTCAACACAGTGTGGTTATATTTCTCTTATGGAACTGCAGTCATTGAAATGGTATTTTTGTCCATTTACTGAGCAGGAAAAAGAAAAGTTTAAAAAGTCTTGAGATGTTAGTCAACATGAGGAATCGTATAGTTGAAGTTATTTCCCAGTGTTTGTTCAAACATTCAGACCTGCCTGGCTCTTTTGGTTTACAAGTGGCGAGGTTCTAGGAGGCTGGCCACATCCTCATTGGTTTGTATAAATATACTAGAGTCCCAGTGCACGAAATTTGTGCACAGGGGGCAGGGAGGAGAGTCACTCAGCCCAGCCTGTACCCTCTCCAATCCAGACCCCTCAGGGGAGGTCTGACGGTCGGACCTCACCTGCCTGCTGGCCTGATCGCCCCCAACTGTCCCCGCTGCTGGTCTGGTTGCGCCACACAACCTGCTGCTCAGTCGTTTGGTCGTCCCTCACTCACCCCCCTGCCGACCTGGTCACCCCACGCAGCCTGTTCGTCACACCCGTTCAGTTGTTTTGGTTGCGACGGTCGCTTAAGCTTTTATATAGATAGATTACAAATTATTACCCTCTTGCCAAATATCAGGGATTTCATTTCTTGTTTAGCTCAGTTACTTATCTGAGATTTGCATCTATTTTCTCTTTATTTCCCACCAAAGTGCCTATTATTTGATTTGTGATAATTCCAGAGGGAGTCTTTGTAGATGAAAAAGCATCATATATATTATGTCCTAAATGCTTAAGATTAATATTTATAACTGTTGAGTCAAAAGACACGTTTCTACCCATTGTGACTAATGTAACTTAATTATTACTCTGATGATGTTTACTGAACAATTAAGTCAAACTAAATTTCTTATTTAAGTGAAGAGCAATATGTCCCAGTATTTCTGCAGAGTACTGGGCTATAGGATGTTGGTACCCAACATTAGAACCAAAAAGGGGATATCCTGCAGGTCTTCCTGGGACTTTCACTTCCCTCGAGGCCACTTGTGAATTTTGGAAGAGAATGTAATATGCTCCGTTTCCCCAAATGAAATTAATAATGCCACCTTTAAAAAGGATTATCTCCTTGAACAGCATGAGCTGCTCCTACCTCACGCCATTCTTTTTGTATCCTGGAATATGTATATATACAATATATATATATTAAGATTGATATAAGGAGATTCTACTCTGTATATTGTGACACAGCTCTTCAAAAATTCCACTTCTTAAAAATTACCAGTTAAAATTAAGGCCTTTCAAATTGGCAGTTAAAAAATAGTCATGGGGGTATGAATTTCAGCATAGAGAACAGAAGCAATAACATTGTAATAAGTATATATAGTGGCAGGTGGATACTAGAAATATTGGCGGGGGGTGGGGGAATTTTATAAAGTATATGATTGTCTGACCCCTATGCTGTATGCCTGAAACTAATACAGAATAATAATGAATTTAAATTGTAGCTGAAAAATAAAAATTGAAAAATAAATAAAACAAAATTAGGACCTTTTCTCAAAATGGTGAGTCTTAATATTTTGAGTAAAGTGATATAACTGTGAGGAAAAGTACTTGGGTGGATTGGATGTTATTCTTGTATTGTGTCATACCCAGAGTGCTTGCAAACGGTTTCATGAGCTGAAGCAACATTATACTGCCACGGCTGTTTGGTAACTTAACGGTTTGAGAGCAGGCGACTTCAGCTCCGCCGTGTGTTGTGATCACTTCATTCTCCAGTTATGTCCCAGTCAGACGTTTCTTTTCCTTTTGTAAAGCACTTAAATGTCTCAAATATTAAAAACTCTTAAGGCTGAGGAGGGTTGGGGGGCAGGGGGAGGTAGGAGATCAACCGAAGGACTTTCATGCGTGCATATAAGTACGACCAATGGATGCAAGACACTGGGATGGGGGTGAGGGCATGTGCCAGGGGGTAGAGGAGGCTGGGGGAAGGTCAGTTGGGTCGGGGGGGGGGGGGGGAGACATATGTACTACTATTTGTAATACTTTAAACAATTTAAAAATATATAAAAAGAACTGGAGTTACTAAAACCATTGGCATCAGAAGAAGTGGTAAACCCTGTGTCCACAGTGAGGAAGTGCAATGGGAAGCAGGTTTAAAGGAACAGTGACAATGGGGCAGCCCCGTGTTTGAGCTTGAGTGTACGATGTTCCATCTTTGGTTCACGGCTGTTTTACTTTATTACAAAAGTGGACGCAACAGATAGGGAGAAGCTTGGTTATTGGGAACTTCTTTTTCTTCCAAAGGAAATAAAAAGTGAAGCCGTCAAAGTCTGTGGGTTTACCGGGAAGAAGATGGTTCTCAGGAGCCTGTGAATATTATGCATGACTGTTACCCGGAATTATCCAGTTCATGGAGTTGTTTTGATAAACGTCTCGGGTGTCAGATCCATGCATAATAGCAGTCGTGTTTTTCACAGTGTGGCACTCAGATGCCTCATGTTACTTTCTATAATACACTTACTAACTAGAAGTTTTTACTTTTATCAGAAGACTATTCCAGAACAAATCATATTGGTGACGTTGGAAGAGTTTAGAATTTAGGAAGAAGAAAAAAAATAACTTTGGCAGTAGATGATTAAAACTTTAATCATAATATTTGGAAGTAGATAAATGTGAGGAAGAAATTCAGTTGATCTTAGTGGATTTGAACGGAGTTGTAGAACCCACCTCAAACTTTTTAATTACTACATAATCAAAAAGTAGTTTGAATCTGGCTGTGAAGTGTGTGTGGTTGGTGGTGGTATTGTGCAGTCCACTAAATTTAACTTATAGTGTTCTTTAGTTTAACATTGAGTCTAGATTCACAGAGAACGTTGTGGGTCCCACATAGCCTAGACATATAGTTGGATGGTACAGTAACCAGGTAGGCATTAAAAATTTAACAGAGGTAATATATAATTGAGAGTCAACCCTGCACTTTAGTAATTGGGTTATGTGCATATTTATAGTTAGTCCCTTTCAAAAGTGTTAATTAAGTTTTTTAAATGAAAGAAAATAATATCATTTTATTAGCCTTTTCTGAGTGTTTCTATTACATCCTTGTCAAGAAATTTACTGACAGCTTGTTTATGAGTGGCTTGTTTAACTCTTCAAACATTTGCTGAACATCTCATGTACTAGAGAGTGTACTTTTATGATTGAAGTCAACAGAAAATGTGTCATTGACTTAAATATTATTTTACTACGGAAAACTTTCTTTTTGAAACTTAAATTTTGAATTGGTGTAGGATTTTATGGGGGAAAAATTGAATTCGCCCAGCCATACTTGATCATGAAGTTAGTTAGTCTGTCTATATCATTTAAGGTGACATAGTTTACCAACACAGTTTCTTCCCTGAAAAGGAAAGTTTGAATTTTACAGTTTTAATTAGCAAGATATTTTGAATTTTAAAAGCTAGGAATGTATGCCCTTTCTAGGGAAATCATTTGACTCATCAGGATGAGAAGGCTTTCTTAGAAATAAACCAAATTTCTCCATATCCCATCCTACTTACTTTCACAGACATGATTGTTCATACCTTAAATTCCAGGGAAAACTTCATTGCAGGGTCCAGCATCTCCAAAGAATGTTCAATTGGGCTTTTTAATGATTCTCGAACTGTGAGCTAAGAAGAACCATATTTTTCCTAGGCTGCAGGTTTTAAAACTAGCAGTCGCAGCAAGTTCCACCTAAGGTCTTAAGTAAGGAAACACCCCACACAGATATTCTCAGGCTCCACTCGTGTTCCTTTCTGTTTGCTACGTGTGTCAAGTCCTATTGAGTATTCTTTATAATAAAAGGCTAATATGCAAATCGACCGAACGGCAGAACAACCGGTTGCTATGATGCGCACTGACTACCAGGGGGCAGACGCTCAGTGCAGGAGCTGCCCCCTGGTGGTCAGTGCGCTCCCACAGGGGAAGCACCACTCAGCCAGAAGCCGGGCTCATGGCTGGCGAGTGCTGCGGTGGTGGCGGGGGGCCTCTCCTGCCTCCCAGGCAGCGCTAAGGAGTAGCCTGCCAAGTGGTAAGGTGCAGCGAGCAGGCGGGCAGTAAGGAGCGAGGGCTCCCAGACTGAGAGAGGGATGTCCTCCAAGGGGTTTTGGGCTATGAAAGGGCATAGGCGGGCTGAGGCACACACCCCCTCACCCCAGAATGGGACTCTAGTCCTTACACATTATCCCAAGGAATGGTCAGCACTGGCCTTGTTATTCCTGTTGGATCAAAATGAGGGACATATATAAGACATACAGGTTACATCTTTGCTTACTGCCACCCTACTTAATATCTCTTTCTTTTTCCTTTTAGGTTATTCGATGTGTGCACGGTGTCCCGAACAGACAGAGAAACTAAACTAACATTAGTGTTTGAACATGTAGATCAAGACTTGACCACTTATTTGAATAAAGTTCCAGAGCCCGGAGTGCCCACTGAAACCATAAAGGTACCAAGAATCATCTTTTTACCTGGTCAGACAGTCAACCTGTTACAGTCTTTCAATCAATGGCATTCTCTCCTTTATGGAAATTGCCAGAATTGGAACTTTTGGAACTCACTGTATAGATAAATATATTTAATATAGCTAAGTGGGACATATTGTAGTTTGTTAATGTTAGGGCTCAGTGGAAAATCCTTTAGGTCTTAATACACTTATTGAAAAATACCTAGTATTTGTTAATTATGTGGCTCTAACTTTGGAAAGTATATGCAATAAGTATAACTCAGTGTTTTTCTGATGAGTCATGGCTTCCTGAGAGGTATAATCTGAAACATCATATGTGAGCACATTAGATATTTTACTTTGTACATTGACTCCAGGATATACCATGCTATGCAAATCAGAAATACTGGTCTCAGCCACTGCTTTCTTCAATTTTTCTCACTAATAAAAACATTTATAGGAAGCCAGTGCTAAGAACTATCCCAAACCCTTGAGCTTTGAAGATGGCTTTAGGTTGTTTAGAAGTTGGCAAGCTAAATGCAGTGTACTGACTAGAAATTCTTTCTTCCTTCAAGTATGATGGGAAAAGCTTACAAAGTTTAGTTGGTGTCTTCCTTCTGCTTAAAATGAACTTCCCCGTAGGTCTGTCTTTTAGACCTATGACATTATGTGCAGGTTTTCATGAAGAACCTTTGTTTTTGTGAATTGGGTGACTTAATTAATCAGATTCCTTATCTTATTCATTGTTTATAAATGTCTATGATCAGAGCATGTCATGTTACAAAATAATTATAAAAGTGTAAAATATTTTGACATGTAATAGACTAAAACAATATCTAGAAAAGGCCTCATATCAGATCCTTTAGGCTAAGGGAATTTTCTTCAACCACCTGTCTCCTGCTGTATTTTCTGCAGCACTGTTTACCTATTAGCCCCCTTAAATTTGGGATATTCTAGAGTATGTTCAGAACCTAAATTGAATCAGGAGGGCACTAGTTGGGTAAAACTGGGATGCTCCATGTCTCTGACTAGATATTCAGGGGTAAAATCTTTGTGCTTAATACCCGTTTGGTAGAAGAGAGCCCATGATAGGCTTATTTTCCCCATTTTCATATACCACATAACAATGTTTCAAGTTCTTTTAAATACTTTTTGGGTCTTTTTTAAGGAATAAAAACACCTTAGGTATTTGTGATGGTTGATAGTTGGGTGAACTCATTGGGAAAATCTTGTAATTATTGTGTAAAGCTCACGTCAGACTTTGGTAAAGTAATTCAAGGGTGTAATCCTGAACTGCTCATTGTAATTGAGGGATCGTGAGAATAAAATAAAACCATAGGTGTATTTTAAATTGCACCTTATTCTAAAAAAAAACTAATAAACACATATAGAGAGCTCATTCATACTTCATCTTGAGGTTTTCATCACATTCTTTAGTCTCTTTTCTTGATGTCCCAAGATATAGCTGTTCATGTTGATGGTGACCTTTGCTTAAAGAAGCCTGCTGTACTATGAAGTCAACAAATATCAAATTTGGTCTCACAGGCTTATCATTGTCATATCTTGCTTTCCTCTTTCTAATTCAGAAGTCTTTTTTTTTTTAATCTACTTAATTATGGAGGACTTCATTGCTGTCTTTGTTTAATTTTTATTTGATCATTTGAGATTTGAGATTGTTCTTAGACTTTCATGTTTAAACTTATAGGCAGAAATTAATACTTTATACACTTTTGGGGTTCATGATAAATTTTCAGTGTCTTTGCTTCTATAGCACCTTCTATTTATGGGGATTTCATGAGAGAGAGAAAAGGGCTTTGAGATTGCTGTTTTTTTTTTCTCTTTCGTGCCTTTATATGTCACCCTATGAGAAAGGATCAGAAAGAACTGTCGACAAATTTCTTCACCTTGTTCCTTAGTCATTTGTAACTGCTACCCAGAAAAAGGATCACTATATGACAGGATATAAATGGAGAGAGATTCCTATGTAAAATCATAATGCTTTCAAAAAAGTAATGCCCTCTTTTTCTTTTCTTTTTTAAAAAAATATATTTTATTGATTTTTTACAAAGAAGAAGAGAGAGGGATAGAGAATTGGAAACCTTGATGAGAGAGAAACATCTATCATCTGCCTCCTGCACATCCTCCACTGGGGATGTGCCTACAGCCAAGGTACATGCCCTTGACTGGAATCGAACCTGGGACCCTTCAATCTGCAGGCCGATGCTCTATCCACTGAGCCAAACCAGTTAGGGCTGCCCTCTTTTCCTGAACTGTCATTTGGCACTTAGGCTTCCCTTTATTAGTATATTATCTTTCCTCACATAGGGCCTGGCTTATCAACTATCTAATCAAGTCTTTGAGAGCCTAATATCCTTGGGACATTCTGTGAATGTAACATGTTTGATGAAGTTGGCAGTCACATTTCACAAGTGGGAATTGGAAGACCCCGAAAGGGGCACACAGAAGATCAGCCACCTCTCCCAAATAGGACAGGGCTCTTCTAGGGCAAGATCACGTGGCCTCTTTGGATGACTCAGCCCTGGAATAGAAATTATATCTTATTTACGCATCTCTGACAAATGAATTCTGTAGGGCTTGAGAAAGCGGAAAAGGTTTGTGTGTCTGCATGGGTCATTTTCTCTGTGAATTACATTTCATTTTATCTTCAGCTGAATGTTTCTTGGAGATTTCTGTTGGTTGTAACAGTTTCAGTCGGAGATTACGTGTACTATTAGGTTTGTTTTACAAAGCCCAGACTTCAGAGGCTGACACACACTCCTAATAGCACCTGTTTTCTGCCACTGGAAAAGGTCTGTTTTCATGAATAATATCTGCCTGCAGTAAACAGTGGCTCTGATGTCAATATGGGATGCCCGGGGCCAACTCATCTTTTTAGAGCTGACATAATGCGAAGTGACTGACCGGTAGGTCCCCTGTACTGCAGAGGAGGCGAGTCTCCCAGAACTTCTCTCCTCTCACCCCAGAGGGATCGAGCCACGGCCCCTCTCTGCTCCTGGTGGTCTCCACTTTGCCTGAATTATGAGCAGGTGATTTGTCTCATCTTTGCAGGACACAGAGCGCATTAACATGAAAATATCGCTTCTCAGAAAACAAGGCGGGCTTGAATGCCCTGTCGCCGCTGGTCATTAGCCATCTGCCACCAGCACTCATACTCTGTTTATCACATTTGAAATTCAGAGCAGATGTTGCATAATAAGGTGATCTTAAAAAAAAACAAGGCAGGAGGCTCAAAGAGCAAGTGCTTCACAATAGTGATAAGGATCCCGGAAGGAAATTTTTTCCAATCTCAAGTCATGACTGGAGTACTCAAAGAGACCATGTTTTTTAAAACCCACACGCACACACATCCCTCCTGATATTTAATGCGAACTGCTTTTTGTAGTGACATGGAATAAATTGAAAAGTACACATGTGAAAGAATCCTGAGGAGACTGTTTAATAAATTTCATTTTCATAGGATGTTGCAATAGTGGCTCTGGTGCAAAAGACCTCAGAGTTCAGCCTTTTACCCTAAGATGGGGCTCAGCTTAGAGCAGTTTGACCTCCTGTAGTTCACTCCTATAGCACATTTGGATCTCTCAGAACTCATAGCTGGCCAGCATGGTTTCCCTGAAAGTATATTTTTTTTATTGATCCTCAAGATCCTATATTCCCCATACCTTCTCTCTTTCTCCCTCTCTCTCTCCCTCTCCCTCCCTCTCTCTCTTACACACACACACACACACACACACACACACACACACACACCGTGCTTTCCTGGCCTCTCTGAAGCTGGACCACAGCTTCCTCTTCAGTTTCGACAACCTGAGTCCTAATAGTCTTTCATTTAATTGCACTCCCCTTCCACATCAGTGGTAGCATTTTAAAAGATTGATTATTATAATATTTTACCCAATCAAGTTATGCACATTCTAGACCCTTATTATGCCTTATATAAAGCACATTATTCATAGTGTATTACCTTTTGTGTTTATAGGAATTCTGGTTTTTAAAAAAAAAACAGGTATCTGAACTGTTATCAGGAATGTAATGTATATTATAATTTTTCTTTGAGGAAAGTTAGCTTCAAATATAGTCTTTTGACTCAAAGGAAACATTTTATCCACGCAAACCAGACCTTCATGCACACCCTTACCTGTGTATGTCCTCCCCCACCCCCTCACACAGAATTTGGGGGGAATTTTTTTTAAAAAGGGGAATATCAGATATATTGCTAAGCAAAAGTTAAGCAGCCAGTCTTAGAGGGTTAAATCAAAGTCACACCAGCAATTGGCCATTGACTCCAGTAGGAGAGATGATCAGAAGTGAGTCAATACTGAGTTTACCCCAGATTTAGGGGGAAATGTAGGACAAATGAGCTACAACTATGGTACCTTTCAAGAATTCAAGAAGCTTCTTCAGGGAAGAATATTTTTAGAGCATCTGACTTGGAGGTCTCTTCCAGAAATAAATCTTGAAGCAGTTTCCCAGGCCCTTGTAGTTGCTGAATTCATATCTGGAGAAAGAGAGGACAGAATTATGCAAATATAATTACCTAAATTATATAATAAAAAGTTATAAGTTACTTAGTGGTTTGGGTTTTTGTTTTTTGTTTTTTCTAAAAGGAAATATGGGTTGAAAAGCAAAAGCCAGTGTCATTCTAAAGGTACTGCTAGACTGACTCACTAAAATAAATAATGACTAACTATTATAAAACAAGCAAATGACACTTTGATCAAGCTAAGTTGGAATCTCTATAGAAAATACTCTCTCACCTTAGGCATTGGATCCGTTTATAGAGTCCATTAAAAAGTTACCAGCAGTATACACCCAGTCTGTATCACCATAGCGACAGCAGAGTGATGCTCTGCATAGAAGGGCTAATGCTCACCCAAGTTTAGTGTGTGCCTCACCTTCCTGGCTACAGACTCCTTTCTGGGCTCTTTTCCTCTAAAAGTTTCACCCTTCCCCTCTTTTCTCCCCTGCCTACACTTCCTGGCAAG